TTCCTGCCGGCTAAACTAGACATCATGTTTAATTCATCTTCAGGAGCTTGCACCCTTTGGAATTAGTGCCTGACAGGGTTTTTTTTTCTCCGTGTTCTCTTTTCCTGACAGGCGACTATGAGGTTTCAGTGAAGTTCAATGACGAGCACATCCCAGACAGTCCCTTTATAGTACCCGCCACCTCCACCTCCGATGATGCCCGCCGACTCACTGTTTCTAGTCTTCAGGTGAGGCACTGGGAGAAACCGCCCACTTGCTCCCCCTGCTGGTTGGGTAGAGTTGGCACTGTTGCTCTCCTGAGTTGGCGGTCCTTCACCACAAAAAAAGAAGAGAAGAGTAGATCCAGGCTGATGAGAAAGTGTCCAGGGATCTGTCCTGCAGCCGTGGGGCGGAGGGGTAGTTTGCTTTGCTTGAATGTCTGGTCAGTTGCAGGGGGAAGGAGGTCCTCAAGTCAGCCTCACTCAGAATAGTCACGGTGCCAACTTCCTGGCCACACAGGGATCTGCTCTGGGGTTTTTCTCGTGTCTCGTTTAAAGGCTGCTAACAGTCCTGCACTCCGTGCCAAGGTTTAAAGATGGAGAGCTCCCCTGGGCATGCTGCATCTGCTGATCTGCCATATTGAAAGGCTACCCAGCCTTCCTCTGGTCTAAACTGTCCCCCTTTTGCTTGCCTGCCTGCCGCTTGTGCTGTGTCCAGTTTCCAGGGGAGCTCTCCCTCTCTAAGCCACCTGGCTCAGGTAAGTGGAAGCCTGTCTTGTGTTTGCTGGGAAGGGGTGGGGGAGGGGGGGATGCAGGGCTTTGGAGCCGGATGCCGCGGCCCTCTTTGCCCTTTCTGCTGTCTCATGTGCTCTGTGCTTCCAGGAGTCAGGGTTAAAAGTGAACCAGCCAGCCTCATTCGCTGTCAGCTTGAACGGGGCCAAGGGTGTGATTGATGCCAAGGTGCACAGCCCCTCAGGGGCTTTGGAGGAATGCCACGTCACCGAAATCGATGAAGGTAAGAGCTCTGGTGTCCTACGTCTTGGCAAAGTGACCGGTTAAGCGTGCTGCAACAAAAGGCTGGTTGACCCATCTATGTCACTTCCGGCTCTAAAACAAAGGATAAAGGCTACCAAAGTCTTTTTCTCCAGCTCCAGAAAGTGGAGTCTAGAAATGTTTGTTTGTGTTAGAAGCTGAAGCAGACCATTCTATGACCAGATCCCAGGCTCTATTCTTGTTATTAAAATGCCGATAAGGTTGGGAGACTGATTTAACAATGTTTATGGAGATTCTCAAACCATCCAGGTCATGGTTGTCCCAAAGGTGCTGTTTCCAAAAGGCAACTGGACTTTCTTCTTTTGAATTGAAGAAGCTTTTTTGGATGAGAAGCAAAACATTTTCAAAGGAAAGAAAAAAAAACCCAAGGAAAATCCAGTTGCCTTTTGGAACATGTGCTACAATATTAATGTAGAAGCATTTTTAAACCTAAATTGCCTACTTGGTTAACGCTGAAAGTACTTTTACGTGTACTTGGAAAAAAAGTAAACTGCATCCTGGTGAAAACAACTGCGTATTGTAGTGTGGTGTGCTGTAGCAGAGCCACAGAGTAATTGTGCTCAGTTGTAGCTCGGCCTGCACCATACAGACTTTCAGAGGAAACAGTCTGCATTGAATAAGGCTTGGAAGCAGATGGAGAGCTTTGTAAATGAATGATAGTTGCTGTAATGTAACCCTTCACCCAGCTAAGTTACACTGGACTCACCAAACAGTCTTTATTGTTAGTTCTGTCAAAAACAGGTTGCTCCAATCATTTGTTGTCACACTGTAGATGTTAGAAAACAGCTGTACCTCTTTAAAACTTGCTCTGATAAAGGGACTCCTGCCCACTGTTACAGTCCAAGGTCCCCTCAGACATTTTCTGAGTCTGAAGGCAACAATTCAAATCCAGAGAAAAGGCACTTGCTTACCTTCCTTCAGTCTGTAACACTAGTAGTTCAGCTGGAGCAAGAGTGGTGATAGAGTTGGGCTGACCCAACCCTACAGAGAGGCAATACTTGTGTCTTCAAGCTACTTTACCAAGGTCCCGTGATGGGCATAGCACCGATAAGGCAACAAAATGTCTCCCGCGCTGTTAGTTCTCCAGTTCACATTTACTGCTTCAGGAGGCAAGAACAGAAACGGGCCCAGAGCCAAAGCAAAGGCAGATTCTTGGCTCCCTGCCACTTACTTAAGGATTTTAGCAGACAGATCTCCTTTCTGGGGCCTGAACTATCCAGGATAAGAAACAATGCTTCTCTCCCAACTCTAATTATGGGGTAACCAACACTGTCCAACTCCATCTGTCGCAATTCCCATCTGGTCAGCATTCCCCAAGTACGCTGACTAAGACTTAATTATTTTAAGCAGCAAGCACATCTGCTCACAACTACCTACAAGTTACAAAACAACATAGGTCAGCTCACTCGTGGCAGTGTAAAGTGAGTACTCACAACACAAATAGCTAACACCTGCTAATCCCCCAAATTTAAAAGGAAATGGCTGAAATTTTGTAAGAACTCACAAAAGGATAAGGAGATTTTGTAAGATTGTAGCCACTACTTTATTTTGATTGTGTGTGTGCATTTATGTGGTTGCTAAAAATTAATGCCAACTGTATATCACTGATTTCTATACTTGCTGTAACCGATGGCCACTAGGTGAAAAATCATGCAGTATTGTTAGCTGTCCAAGCCCTGGTTTAGCCAATGCTGAACTGTGGCTTTTGCAATCCAAAACAACCTCCCAAAGCAAAGCTTTGTTCATAGATTCCTTGCTGTGTAGATATTGAGCTGTAAGTTCATCATACTCGGCCTTCAACAACATCTATAGTCACCGGGAGGCAAATTCCACTCCACAGAGTCATTACTTTTACTGAGAAGATTGTGTGAACTATACATGATTATTTTTTTTTGCCACGGGAACTAATGAGGGGTGAATTGCGACCAACTAACACTCATTTTCAGTTTTGTGGATTCTTATGTCAAATGCTGTTGAATCTACCCATCTTTTGAAGTGAGATGTAGGACTTGCTACCTCGCCTGTACAGAATTTCCTGCCATGTAACTTGCAAACTGCAAGTGGTTGAGAATCTACTGTTGAATATTATGACTACATGTGGAGACACAACTACAACTGCAGAGCAGTGCTAAAATGTGACAGTTGTGGCTATTGTGTGAAGTCCCTGCCTTCTCTGCAGATTACTTTCATGGCCATGAAAGAAGAACCTTCACCTCTGATCCAATCTACATTTGCACTGAATGAACGTCCATTCCCAATAAGTGGCACCTCCAAAGAAGCAGTTGATGAGAACAAATTGGATCAACTGGTGCCCTTCAGAAATATTAGAGCTATAGTTCTTACAATTCTGTGGTCAGGAAGACATCAATTTAAATTTGGCAGTTCTATTTGCATATTAAGCGAGTAGTCTTTTTGCAAAGAATCCAGATTGGGGACCTGCAAAGACAGAGAATGGAGAAAGCTTAATTGCCTATAAGCCCCTTTTATTTCTAATCAGTAAACACATCTAGTTTGTTAATTTATTTGTGTAAGCCTGAACCTGTTCCAAACATGTTTGTTATGTCTTGCTCTTAAATTAGCATTTTAAGGATTTTTACACATGCAGTACATATGCACATTTTCCTTTATACTGTCTTAAGTACTGCTCAGGTTTGATTCAATATACTTGAATATAATAATAATA